AACTTGTAAGTGGCAGCCCTGGGTCTCAACCTCTTCTTCCTCTAAGGTCTGTTTTCTATCTGTATACTATCCCTTAATTTGTCTAAATGCAAGATGAATATTTCTTATTTTAAAACTAGTCATTGATCTGTATTTAATTGTGCTACTGAACTTTTCTGTCGAGGAAATGAACAAGGAAGAAAAGAGAAAGAAATATCTAAGAGAGTTTAGGGAGTTAAGGGAATTAAGATAAACTGTAGACACAGATTATAGACCAAAGGCTGAAACAGCCTTTCTGCAATTGAGAAAAGATTTTTCTTGCCCCCTTGCCTTCCCTGCTTCAGTGAAGAGAGGGTACTTGCAGTGAAAACATTCGCTGTGACTTCCTCAGGGTAAGCTAATATTAACAGGCCTCAGACAAAGAAGTTAGTCCCTTGCCCCGCCCCATACTTCCTTAACCTTCTATGTTCAAGATATTAACAAGCCCTCGGTTTCCTTCCCAAGCACTGTGACTCCTAAACTCTTTCAACGACTGCTTCTTCGGGATGGAATATTCTCCTGCTCTTGAGAAAAGGACCAAAGGATATTCCTTTCCAAAGTGAAATATTTAGTCATTTACATCCAGCTGCTTAACTCTCCTCTTATTTCAGAACACGTGCAGTAACACATGAGAGTTACTTTTTCTTCTGCCTTTTAATTTATGAATAAGTTAGCTTTAAGGTTAACTACTGATATTTACATTAACATCATGCTTTACTTTTCCTACCCAGCTGAAATGCCTTCAGACTTGTGGGATAGACTGTCTTAGTATTAAAGGAAAAGTAGGAGTATACAACAATGAAATTTAGTGTTTCCCACTCTACCCCAAGAAAAATCTCAATGACCCACTTCCCCCAAGAAGAAAACAACAATTTTGGAGAGCTGTCGTCAGAGATTAAATTGGGAGTAGGTGGCATGTGGAGCCTACATAATATAAGACTGGATTCAACCATGTGTTTTACAGCCGCAACTCTGAGGGTAGTTTGATTAGTACGTTTTGTACCCAGTTCCAATTTTAACCAGTAATACTTTATATTTTAAGCCTCTGGGGCTCTTTGCTCTTGCTATAATCACTAAATTAGTAAGCAGCAAGAGTGGAAATGGTGACTAAAATGGACTTTTTCATAGCACAGTGAATATGTTTTTCTACGGTACTGAATGAGGACATTAGCTACAAATGGCATCAAGCAGTCATTCTGTGGATGGGATGACAGCCCTGGTAATGTAACAAACAACAACTAAGGAAATACTTTCTAAAATCCCTCCATGTTAAAAGTGTTCTTAGCCATTGTTCATGCCTGACTAATCCCAGGAGTGGAGACCTTACCAAGTAAGAGTGGCTAGTTGAGGTTAGTAGAGAAGGAGTGACACCATATGCTGAGAGAGGAGAATTACAAGGCTCGAATTCTCACTTGCCCAGTTAATAGATTTGAAGGTAGCTTTGTATAGTATTTGCATTTCTGCCCCTGCAAAAAAAAAAATACTTTCCAATTTGCACAAGTAAATATGTGCTACACATCATTCTCTACAGCTTTTCAAGAACTCTGAAGGGTCTGAAATTTTACCGTTTGCCTGCCACAGTTCCATGAATGCTGGTAGAAGCCAGCAAACTGCTGGGTCAGAGATGAAGGATAATTTATCTCTTATGGCAGTAGCAGCAAAGTATCAGCATTTTTGTGCCAGTTCCCTGAGCCTCAATTCCCCCAGGGCGACGTGAGGAAGGCCAGATAACATCTGCATACACATGGGTTGCATCAGGAAAGGAACAGTGAGCTTAAGAAACCCAAATCTTTAATAATGAGCAGTAAGAATGTCTGCCCTTGGCTCTAAGGGAGACACTATCTCTGACTTCTAAGGCTGTAAGCAAACTTGCCCTTTGCTCCAGAGGCCAACACTGTATCTTCGAAGGTTGTTTCCTACGCTAACAAAGGAACAAGGGCAGACAGTGCCCCCCTTGCAAGACAAGCAGAAACATGAGACCCATGGAGAACTGTTTCCCAACATGGCAAAGTCTAACTTTCATTTTTAATGAAATTTTATTATTAACTAGCACCCCTCTCCAATATCAGAGTTTCTTCTATACAGGGAGACTAAAAGACACAGAACCCAATTTCATGACGATTGCGTATTAGTCATTTCTTGCTGTGGAACAATATTACCACAAACCTAGTGGTAGTACACATTCATTGTTATCTCACAGTTTCTGTAGTTGGGAATCTGGGCATGGTTTAGGTGGCTGCTCCGATTAGGCTCCCACAGGACTGCAATAAAGATTTTGACTGAGATTGTGGTCTCATCTGAGGTTCTACTGGGGAAGGATATGCTTCTAATCTCACTCAGATTGTTGGCAGAATTCGGTTTCTTGCAGTTGTAGGACTGAGGGATTTGGTTTTTTGCTGGTTGTGGATTGGAGGTTGCCCTCAGCTCTGAGAAACCACCTGTAGCTCCTTGCCACATGGGGTTTCCCAACACGGCCGCTTGCTTCCTCAAAGCCAGCAAGGGAGAGAGTGAGCAACTCCAGCAAAACGGCCACTACAGTCTATGTAATTCAGTCACGTAGTTACCTATACCCCATTACTAATGACATATTCTGTTGGTTAGTGTCTCCTGATGTGTTTATGGAGGTGGTTGTTTGTCGATTACTTCAGATAACTTATCTGACTGAGTAAGGAAAATTCTTTCTGAGGAGGGGACATTTTAGCTGAGACCTCAAATCATGAGTCGGCAGTGAGAAGATGGGGGTGGGGGTGAGGAACATTCTGGTAAGAAGGAACAGAAAATGGGAAATGTAGCTCTACCCACAGATAGAAAAATATTATCATACTATTACAACATTGTAATTTATGTTTCTGTCTGTTTTCTCCATCATTCAGTGAGCTGTACAAATTATCTCACAATCTTCAATATTCCATAGCAGATAGTAAATTTGTTTAATAAATGGATGGATTTATTCATTTAGAAATCATTTTATTGAGCTTTCATTTACCACGTACTTCAGAGATACAGAATGACCATGTGAAGGCCTGTGCCCTCAGTGAACTCACAGTTGTGGGGAGCAGAGTTGCAAACAATTGCTGATACAAGGTGGTCAGTGCTATTGGTGCTACTACAGCTTTGGAAGAAAGAATGAAGCCTCCCTCTTTTGGGGGATTGGAGAAACTACCTAAAGGTGGCAAAGTTAGTGCTGAGACTTGAAGGTGTGGGGGATCAGAATTGGCTACCTCAAAATATGTCTCTTTACCTTGATTTTATTCTGAAAGACACTTTGACCTCCCCCCCTCCACTAACTGCCTAAAAGAATTTAAGATAAGAGCACTGTCCGCATGACAGGCCATCACCATAGATAACTCTGGGTATGGATAGACTGGGAGGGTCCTTGCTAAGCCCATTCTTATCAAAGTTCTGTTTACCAAACATTTACATTTGTAAAGGAAATCTCCATTTGTAAATGTATCACCATCTCTGTACTGGGAAGAAAGGGGGATGACATCATCTCTAGAAACTTGTCAATATGGAAGGCAAGGCCTTAAATCTGCTTAATAACCTTACTCTTGTTTACTGTGCTTTTCTGGTAATCTCTCATAGCTGACTCCCCCACCCCCAACATCCTCCTTTGTCTTTACCTGAATATGCTATTTAAAGATGAGAACTTCCGCCATATGTTGAGTTACCCAGTTTTCCCGGGTCTCTCTCGTTTATACAAGTTATAAAGCTTTGTTTGATTTTTCTTCTGCTATTCGATCTCATGTCAATTTAATTTGTAGCCCAGCCAGAAAGGACCCAAAGTGGGTAGAGGACAGTCTTCCTCCCCTTCGAAGGATACCTAAATTAGTTGGGGAGCATAAATAGGAAAAGGCATTTTAGGTAAAAGAATCAGCTTGAGCAAAGGCTTGGAGGTGACAAAGTATAAGTCTGGTTTGCAAAAATCCCAAGAAGTTTAGGAGTAGAGAAAATAAAACCAGGAGTATGTGTGGAAAGAGGAATGGCAGGCCAGGAAGCTTACTCAAGAAGTGTCTATGGATCATATCAAAAGGACAAAGAAGCCAACTAGAAGGTGTCCTATGGCCTAATGGGATAATTTGAGCATCATAAAGAATAATGATTATAATGGATTAAAACACATCAGATATGTAGAAATGCTTGCATTCATAATGATACTAAGCAAACAAAACCTTATTGGTTAACACTGGAGGTTGCTAGAGCACCAACTCATTTCTCTGAAATTGATAATTAAAGTGAAAGATTTCCTTTCCTCTACTATCCCTGTATTTCAGGATAACCAATGAGTTGGTGACAGAAAGTTCTTTTTATAGAGGAATCCCAGGTAATAAAGAAAATTATTGAAAGTATTAGAAATTCACTGTTCCTCAGTGATTCCTCAGCTCCCAGAAGCCCCGCGGAAAGGGGATGTCCGAAATGAAAGCCCCAACTATTTTTAGAAGGTTCTGAGATTTCCCAGGGCTTTTCGAAAGAGGCTACCTCCGGAGTGTAACAGGCAAATAGCTGCTGGATTGAACAGCCTTGTCCCCAGCCTCCGGCGCTCCAGCGTTCACCCCGGGTGGACTCGCCCCTGTCTCAGGCGTACAGCGAGAAGCGAGGCTATCCCGCCCCGCCCCGCTTTCCTCCCCTCCCCACATGTGCCCTTCTTTTCCTACTCGCTTCCCTCCCCACCGCCCCCCGCTGCTGACGCCCCTCCCGTCTACTCTTTCCCATCCTTCCTCTCCTGCGCCTCGCCCCACCCCTTGCTTATCTTACCCGCTCCTCCTCTCCCACGCCAGACCCGCGGCTCCCTCCTCGAGCCCCGCCTCGTATGTTCGCCCAGCCACTCCTCTCCTGCTCCCCTCCCCACCTCATTTCTCCTCTCTCAGCCAACCCCGCCCCTCCCTTCTCAAGCCCCGCCCCCTAGCATCGCCCCGCCCCTCCTCTCCTGCTCCCCCCCGTGTCTCCGCGCTGCCGTAGGTTACCATAGCTACGGTGCAAGCGGCAGCTAGGCCTCCCTAGTTGATCCCCGGCTGGCGGGAGGGAAGAGGCGGCAGCATGAGCCACGTAGTGACCATCGAGGAGCCCCAGGCCACGCCGCAGGTGTCTCCGACCGGGTGCAGGGTGAGGTCGGGGACCTGGGGCCAGGTCTCCTCCAATCGAACGTATGATTTCCTGTACGGTAAGGGCGGCGCCATACCTCCCTCCTGAGTTGTCGACTCCTGGGCCAGGTGGGCTTCCAGACGGTGGGACCTGGCCACTGGCGCAGGGAACAGATATACGAGCCTCAGGAGGGATCCCTTGCCCGCGGTTGTTGTTGATTGGGTGGGGACAGCTCCGAGCCCTCCAGGTGGCGGCGCTCTCGAGGGCGCCATGAAGTTGCAGATGGGCTCTGCGTCTCGGAGCACCGCGCGGGGTCGCCTTCTCTTCGCCACCCTCTTTTCCTGATAATTTGCGCAGCCCTTAGCCATCTTCCTGAAAACTGTTCTGGGCATTTTGGTATCCAGAAAAGTATGCAATAATTTGCAGACTTGGAGATTCACTCAACATTCCCACGTTCAAACTGCATAAAATGCGCAACAAGAATGACCTTCCCGCTCCCATTCTCTGGGCAACTCCAAATTTGGCATTCTAGGTAAAGAAGTGCCAGTTTATTTCACCTTTGTTTTTAGTTTTCTCTTTTTCTTTAAACTTAATCTATCCATCAAAGCATTGCTTATAAATTAAGTCCCCTGGGTCCTTTTGGGCCAATAAAGCCCCGGTTTATTTTAATGCCCTGATTGTCCGTTTATGTTCTGTCTCTTCTACTGGACCTTAAATTCCTTGAGTTCTTTAAGTTCTTGTTCTATACATTTTTGTAGCCTTCTCAGTACCTATTCCAGCGCTTGTGCCCATGCTAGGTGCTTCATAAATGTTTATTGAATTATTGAATTTACTATTACAATAATTATAATCGGGTAAGCATGATTTCTTCCAATTTTGCCCTTAGTAGTCCCACATTCTTCACCTGAACCTTGCATTGGTTACCTCTGGAATTCCCAGGGTCTCCTTTGGATGGGAATCTGTAGGCTGCCCATTTCCTGGTATAGGGGCTATGAATGATTGCTTCCATATTCTGATCAGTGGTTTTCTTTATTCACTCTTGGTTTCATCTGATAAAATAAATCTAGTAAACTGCTGTAAATACATCACCAAGTTTGTTTCAAAGGTAATTTGGAAATGGGGATAGACATCTTCGGAAAAGACAAGCAAAGAATTTATTAAGCTCCTTGTATCTTTTGTCCCTGAATGAATCTCTTTTTTTTTGCAGAGGGATTGCTAAATGTTTCCATGTCCCTTGCAAGGAACAGAAATCCACTCAGAATAGATCAAATGAAAGTTTGGATTGTTTCAATAAAACAGGCAGTCTCAGCTTTTCATGGACAGGATGCTTAAAGTAGCCAGGACAGACTAGAACCAGGACGGGAAAGGTCAGAACTAAGGTTCAGTGCCACTCAATTCCTTGGAACTTATGGTCTTTCACCCTCTTAGGGTAGCCAGATTTAGCTAATGAAAATACAAGATGCACATTTAAATTTGAATTTGAGATAAATAATGAATAATATTTTAATTATTATTTTATTATTATACTATTAATGAACTTTTAGTCCCATGCAATATTTGGGACATATGCATATAAAAATTATTCATTGCTTATCTGAAATTCAAATTTAACTGGGCATCCTGTATATTATCTGGCAACTCTAATCCTGCTGTTTTCTGTGCATATCCTTCTTTCTTCCTTCTTCCGTCTGACAGAAAGCCACTATATATGGATTTCTCTTATTATGACAGGGACTGGGGTGGCACTGTACGTGACCTCTTAGCCTAAAGCTCCCCACCATTTATATAGAGTCCTTTTGTATCTTAGCTGAAAATTGAAGAGAGGAGTAAGATAGGTTGTTGGCCAGCCAATGAGTTGACTGGCGTAGGTCAAATTTCCACCCTGACAGAACTGTGGTGGGGGGGCTGTGGAGGTCAATAGTACCAATATGAACACCTTTCCAAAATTATAGTTAACATCAGTCTTTAATAAATCTTACCTCATTTATATACCATTTTGCATTTTACTCATTTGTTGTAAATGCTTTGTATCTCTAAAATGCCTTTCTTGAAGTGCCCACTGTACTTTGTCACTTCCCCGAATCTGTATATTTGTTGATGGATTAATAGCTACATTACTGCCCTGATGATTAAAATCTTTTAAATATATATTTTTCCTAGCTTCCAATAATGTTTTAAAATACTTTCTAGGTTTATTATGAGCTCTTTCTTCCTTTCTTTTCCCCAGAATCTGCAATTATTATACTTTCCCCTAAAAGTAATCATTATGTCTTGGGGTTTGAAACACTTCCTCTCTCTCACCATTACTTGGTTGTGACAACTTCCTGGGCTTCTTAGAACTGTTTCTACAATATGGGTAAATTGGCTGAGGTGCTCTCTGATGATTTCCATGGAAAAATTTCCCCCATAAAATCCATGGGCTTTTGATAACATTAGGCCTGAGAGCTGGAAGGACTGGAGTTTAAATCCTAACTTCCAATCAGTAAGTTGCTAACTTCTTGAAGGCTCGGTTTCCTCACCTATAAAATGGTGGCCTAGTGGGGCTGGCCCGGTGGCATAGTGGTTAAGTTTGCACACTCTGCTTCAGCGGCCAGGGGTTTGTGGGCCAGATCCTGGGCGTGGACCTACACATCACTCATCAAGCTGTGCTGTGGCAGCGTCCCATATATAAAATAGAGTAAGATTGGCACGGATGTTAGCCCAGGGCCAATCTTCCTCAGCAAAAAGAGGAAGATTGGCAACAGGTGTTAGCTCAAGGCCAATCTTCCTCACCAGAAAAAAAGGAGGCCTAGTGCCTACCTCATTGGGTTTTTGTGAGAATTAAATGGAATATTGCAAATAAAGCACTTAATACCTGTCTAGGAGTAATCAAGTGATATCTGGTGACTGCTGGCATCTCAGAGGCCTTTCTGCTGCCTTTTCAGCACTGATTATAATCACAGTTTTAGGATATGTTGCAGACTGTGTAGTCACAAATCATACAGTATTGTGTCATTATCTTCTACAGGTGGCAAGAATGTTTCTATATGTATCATGTCTTCCCACTCCTTATGAGAATAAGAGGAGAATGTTTTATTATTTATTATTCAGACTTAGGGGAAATGCAAGGTAGACTAATTTCAGATGAACAACACAATTGCCACTATAGACCCAGTGATATCTTCTAAATCACTTACAGTAAGAGTATGAATAGAAATTTCCCTTTGTCCCATACTATTTCCAATATATAAGAGATGTTGAAGCTATTTTCTTCCTTTCCTTTAAACAGGTACATTCATTCTGCCTTCAAATTCACTAGCCTGTAATTTGAGGTTATAAAATCTGGCCTCTTCCTAATCAGCTCAGTTTCCATCACTTCGCAACCTGAATTGCAGATAATGGATTTGGGTGATGCAGCTAAAGAAGAATATTTCTAAAGGCTGATGATTCTCAAATTTATATCGCCAGTCTAGACTTCTCTCCCAAATTCTAGACTTGGATATCAAATTGCCTACTTTATGTCTCCATTTGAACATGTAATAGACACCTAAGACATGCTTTCTTGATGTTCTCCCCACAAACTCGCTCCACCACAGGCTTTCCTGTATCGGTTGGTGCCAACCCCACCCTTTAGTTGCTGAGTCCAAAAATCTTGGCGCCATCATTGCCTCCCCTATCTCCCTCACACCTTCCAATCCGTTAACAAGTCTTGTCTGCTCTACCTTAAAAATGTATCTAAAATCCTGCCACTTCCATCATTTCTGTTGCTACCACCGTGTGCAAACCATCATCATCTCTTCCAGATTACTGCATGAGCCTCCTGATAGGTCTCCCGGCCTCTTCCATTGCTTCTCTCCCTGAACTCTGTTCTTAACTGGCCAGCCACAATGAATATTTTAAAACATAAGTCAGATTTTGTCACTCTGTGCCTCAAAATCTTGCACTAGTTCCCCGTCTTACCCAGATTAAAAGTGAAGTCTTTTCAGTGGCCTACGAAGCTCTATGTGTGATTGAGGCCCCTGGTAACTTCTCGGACCTTTTATCTCCTACTTTTTCCCCCTCTCACTCTGTTTCAATCATATTGGTCTCTTTGCTGTTTTTCAAACATGTCAAGCATGCCACCATCCTAGGGCCTTTGCTCTAGCTCTTTCCTCTGCCTAGAATGCTCTTCCTCCGGATAATTATATAGCTAACTTCCTTACTTTCAAGTCTCCTTAAATGTCACCTTCTCCATGAGGCCTGCCCTGACCACCCTGTGTAAAATTGTAACCCAATCTGCTTCACCCTACTCTCCTCTTTTTTTTTAGTAGCATTTATTACCCTCTAATTCTAACATATTATATAAATTGCTAATTTGTTATGTTGTTGTTGATTGTCTCTCTCCCATGAAGTCAGGGATCTTTATCTTTTTGTTGATGTCTTCCAAGCACCTAGAACGTAGTAGCCAGTCAATAAATATTTCTTGAATGAAAGAGTAAAGAGAACCTGAGCCTCTTGTAGCTTTTCAGCCTTGGTGGGAATATCAAATGTCTGCATCCAATAAATCGTTTTTGTTGGGTAACCGAGGAGTTATTAGGTTCTAGGAATTGACTCACATTAAATCACAATACCAATTTATTAATTTCTGTGGAGGAATACATGTTACCAAGTCATCTAGACTAGTTGGTCAGGGTATTTGTCTCTGAAGAGATGTCTACTTGGGAAATCAAGTCTGTATCTGAAGGGTGCTTGTGAATTTAATGTCAGATTGATTTTAAGGGATGGTATAATCAATCATGAATACTCTTTGTCACTTTAAAGATATACCTAACAAGCACATACTTATAACAGCAGGGCAGTCTTTTGTTGAACTTTGGAGAAATAACTTAGTTCCATCATCAACATACTTATAAACTTAAGGGGTAAATTCTAAAGATAGCTGATCTGATTTATCTCTTATTAGAGAATGACATTTTCTTACCGTGTCTACCAATCCTGAAGTGACATGCCGTTAAAAGTTTGTATCTTCCCTGTGTACTGAATATGGGAGCTAGTGCCCAAATTTATTGTTTCTTTCACTTGCAAGTGGACATAGTGCATGTATACATGGTCTTTCCTCTTGGAGTGTTTCCTGGGCTACCCGGACCCAGAAGGTGGTTTGTTCCTAGGAGAGAAGAGAGCATGTTTAGGCTGTGGTGCTTGAGAACATGTTAGGCTTTCTTTTTGCATTCCAATTCTATAAACTGACTTTGGAATACACAGGAAAGAAATGCATCTAACAGACTTTCACTAGTGGTAGAGTAACAGGGCTGTGAGCTGTTGCAGAGGTAGGCAATATCTGAATTTTCTAATTTGTTTTCCAATTAAGAAATTACATTGCTTTGCCATTATTCCCAGCCTAGCAGTAGATATGTTCTATTCCTTATACTACCTTATTGTTTATTTCGCAGATCCATTGTTTATTTTGTCAAGTGAGAAAGACCACACACAGGCAAATATCCAAGCCACCGTGATTCGAAGCAAACTGGTAGGTCTAATTCATCCAGTAAGGCAGCCTAAGGAACCTGAACCAGCTAGTTTGGTTAACTGCGCTGATCAGATTGACTAAGCACCAGATCGCCACTGGATTTTGTATTGTGCAGAAATTACTTTGCCATGATTACTAGGGGACAAGGCATCTTCATACTTGTGGCCCAATCTGGGGATTAATTAACTAATAGTGAATAAAGGACTCACTATAATATAATTTATTTCAATGGGAAAAGTAATATATGCCTGAGTTAAAAGAATTCAAATAGTATAAAAGCATACACGTATGACGTAAATTCTAACCCTCAGCCCTCTTCACATAATCATCGATTGGCATCACTTTCTTGGGTATCCTTCTAGAGATATTCTATACATATACCAATAACTCTTCGTTCTATGCCATGTATGCTGTGTACCTTTTTTTTAAAGTTTGCAACATAAGTCAAATGCTTTAGAAAATCTGATGGTATAATTTTGTCCTTTTCCTCCCTGGTTCCCTGTCCTAACATTAGAGAAAAGTTCCCAGGTTTAGGACCATGTTCAGTAACCTGATACATTATCCAAGATATTCTCTGCATTGGAGCAAAGCAGACCCCGTCCCGCCATTCATCAGTCGGGAGTGGAAGGGTCACAAGGAGAAACACAGAGAAGCCCTCCTGCAACTTGCTGCGTAAGTGTCAGGTAGCTTCAGCTGCTGCTCATGTTTTTAATGAATATATTTTTCTTTTTAAAAATTTTTACCTATTTATTCTGCATTATTATAAAATGTACAATTGTGATGTTACACTTAGGCCAGTTGACCCCAATTTCTCTCTCTTAAACCCTTTGACTAAAATGAGCCTGATTCAGGAGCAATGGTTATAGATTTATTGGTTTAATAGATGTTCTCAGAAGGTTGGAGTGAATATATAGATTAAATGACAACTTGCCACCAAAAGTAGAGGTGACTGAATTTGTCGTCCCTTTGATTTATCTTAGAAATTGCAAGTGGACTTTTCTGCTAGTATCTAAATATATTTTTTGGAGACTTGCAGCCAAAGCACCTTCAGAGACAGGTCTCTTGAATTCCTTATTATTTTAATTATTTATAAGTTCATATCTAGTAAATTTTTTAAAAAATGCTACCTTTCAGCCTGGACATAAAAATTTGTCTTTTGAAACTTTGTAATTCTCATGTGCTATTAATTAAAAGTGGGCATTTTTGTATGTGGGATTTCATAAATCTGCTCTTTTCTTAACTCTCACTTCCTCTTGTTAGCTCCTGGTTTCCTGGCTCAGAAAAGTAGTTATATCTAGTCTGAGATGGAGTCAGTCAGACGCATGTTCTAGAAGACTTTGCTCTCAGTCTGAGATAACCTGTGCATCTCCTACTTTATAGACATAGAAATATTAAATAGAAATTATATTTGGAAATGATATGTTAGTCTTTAATAATGTTTTCCTGCTTCGTTTTAGAACTGACACTTCTTTTCAGATGCCTAAAGAAGTTTATGAAGATCCTGAAGTTACTGGAAAGAATCGCTATAAATATTTTGAAAGGTAGAGGAATTACTAATGAATATGAGCCTTGGTATTATTAGAGAACCTCTTTACGATGATAGCAGCTATCATTTTTAAGTGCATGCAATGTGCCGGGCACCATTGTAAGTGCTTTACATATATATTATCAATTTTCACAACAGAAATGTAGAATAGGATATATTATCCTCACTTTACCAGTAAGGAAGCTGAGACCAAGAAAGGAGAAGTAAATTGCTCAAGGTCACATAAGTTAGCAGGTGGCAGAGCTGGGATTCCAAGTAAGTCTCCCTGACTTCAGAGGTACTAATTGCACATAAGAATGTATATCTGAGAACAAAATGAAATGAGATACAGCAGAGATACTGTGACAGTCATAGTGCAGGGCAAGTTGTTAAAAGTGGGTAAATTGGTGACATTTTCTTTCTTTGTGTGAATGTTGCCAAAACCAACATGGTTAAAAGATTTACTTTGTTTCATTTGTGATTAATACTCATGCAATGATCATATACTCGGATAAAATAAAATAAGATGAAGATTTCTCTATAGGTCTTATCTGAGTTAGAAAAATAGTCTTGATATCATATCTACATAAGCTTCCTTGAGAAAGTAAATTGGTAATCCACATTATTATTTATGAGCAGTCTCCTTAGTGAAGTTTTATGATGCTGACTTTTCCAGGGACATTTAATTCTTAAAAATAGTATACTTCATTCCTAGACTTTTCAGGGGAAGTTTTAAAAACTAAATCATTGGGAATTTCAGAATGTCTCAGGGAACCTGAGAAGTTGCTGGGAGCTAAAGGCCAGCTGAAGCCCAAGTACAGGGCACTGCTTCTCAAAGTGTGGCTTGTTTCCCATCTGCAGAGAAAACACTGGAGTGTTTATTAAAAATGCAGATTCATTGGCTCTACCCTAGAATCTCCTGCGCTTGACCTGGGAATTTGCATTTTAAAAAAGAATCTCCCCACTCCCCCTGATTTTGTGTATGGCAAAGTTTGGGGATTACTGATACATGGAATTTTCACGCTCACTGATTTTAAGGGACAAATATTAGAATTAGAAGAAAGCTGAGTGCACACAATGCAAAAGTCCCACATGGTTGTGTTTTCCTTTCTCCCCCAGGCCTTTCCTTCCATTTTATCAACAGATGCCATTGAATGTTGTTTTTGAAGCAGCCAAGTAAGTAATCATTACTTTAAAGCTTTTTTTTCTAGTTTTTTTTATTTATTATTCGCTTCCATATTTGCTTCCAGGAGGTAGTTCTCTAAAGCCACATTTTTCAAACTGGATCAGAAACCATTAGAAGGTCATGAAATCTTCTAGTGGGTCATGAGCAGCATTTTAAAAAATGAAATAGAATAGAAAATAACCAAAAGCATCAGACATATTGAGGGCAGGTTGTTTTTCGTTTATAACTTTTGTTTCAAATAGATATATACATGTGTTAATATTAATAATGGTTATGATGTAAAATATATTTCTTATAACGAGTTGTGGTAAAAATAAAAGTTGAAAAATGCTTTAAATGTCCTCTTTTGCTTCCCTGAAACACATGCTTATTTGACAATAGTTCTTCAACATTTTATCAAGAAAACTAATCAGTTATGCACTATTTTTTAAATGCTAGAATTTTATAGTTTAATAATCATCTAACCTACATAAGGCAGTGTGGTATACAAAGATAAATGAAACATGGTTTCTGCCCCACAGAGGAGTGAACCAGGGTAAGAGGGAAGTCAACAACAAGGGCAGAATGTGGGATAAATGTACAGTTCTCCAATCTTTAGTTTTAGGGCAAGGCAGGTTAGGTAAAGTATCTCATTAAAAATCTAATTTTTGAGGCAGCCCTGATGGCCTAGTGGTTAAGGTTCGGGGCTCTCACCACTTTGGCGACCCGGGTTCATTTTCCAGTTGCAGAACCACACCACTTGTCTGTCAGTTGCCATGCTGTGGTGGTGGCTCACATAGAAGAACTAGAAGGACTTACAACTATGATGTACAACCAGGCACTGGGGCTTTGAGGAGAAGAAAAAAAAAAAAGCAAGATTGGCAACAGATGTTAGCTCAGGGCAAATCCTTCTCTGAAAAAAAAATCTAATTTTTGCTATACTCTTTCCTGTGTTAACTTAATATGTCTATGAGAGAAAAAAAAAATCCAAAGTATTCGTGAAATAATCAGGAAAAGAAACCTTTTTAAGGTCTCAGATTTCTGAATAGAAATTTAGATAGGGCTTGGCTTTCAAACAAGCATTTAAAGGATATGGTTACCCCTAATGATATTAGCATCTTATAAATAGGACATATGATATCAAATGTCTGTAATCCTCAAGAAAAATGCCAATTATGATCTCAGTTCTCCTCTAAATTTTTAAGACTGTGTATGGATACCTTTGGCTCTTACGTAGATGGAGAATAGATTCCCTGCTCTTCCCCTAGACAGAGCAACCCTGTGTGATGTCAGTTTACCTGGGGACAGCTGCAGATTTATTTTCTATGAACTGCTTTGTATGAGCAAAGAGGGAGCTATGAGACAGGTGGATCCCTATAGATACCTCTGGTAATTCTTTAAAAGCAGGCCCACTGGATCACCTGCTTTGGAGGTCGTAATTACCCCAGGTGTAAAAGTTGTTCAATTAATTGTAGGGAGTTTGGAGGTCTACAGTAATGAACAGTGGGCCTCCCCACTCCTTCCTAAATAACTGTGAAATAAGGGAAAAAGATTCCCTCTGACTGTTAAACCATGACAGTTGACATTCTAGATAGGCTCTATCTCTCTTAGAAGATTTTAAAGAATGAATCAGTATCCTTGAGTGAAGTCAACTCTGGAATTCTGGTGGGGTTGAGTGTCTGAGCGGTGAGGATAATTCCACCTTATGTTAGCAGGGATGGACTTGTCTGGGGACCAGCTGACCTTCTCCAACCGTACTGTTTTCATGGCTGGCTGTTGGAGTCTTTACTTTGGACTCAAGCATTTTGGCAAAGAAGATACAAAATTATTTTCAAAACATTCAATGGCGATTTCCAGTTCCGCATGTAAGGAGCTTGAAAGTCGCCAGTCTGTCCGAACAACAAGTAAAAAGCTGAACAAACTGAAAAATCAACAACTCTTTTTGGATTCATAAGAGAGAGGAGGATCCAGGGCAAACTGCTGCCCCCAAGATTGGAGAGACAGACAGGCGAATAGAGGGAGTCACGGCTTCCTGGAAAGAGATTCGTGAGCAGAAACTGCCCCAGGAACCTGTCCCAGGTAGGAAAACGTGAACTGTAATCGATGGATTGCTGGAAGCTCAGTGTGGAAAACTCTGAGTTAAAAACTCTAGGGGGATTCAGTAATAGGGGGGCCCTCACAATTTTGTGAGATTTACCTCCAGGAGCTCAATCAGGTTCTCATAGTAAGTATGGGAGAAAAATCCCCTCATGCTTACTGCAGGAGGAAGGGAAAAGGAACCATTTTGAAATATACTAGAGCACTCAACTCTAACAAGGCCTGCCCTCAGAGGAAGCTAGTTAACCAGAGCCTAATCTGCTGGGGTATTATTAGAACCTCACTGACCTGGAGGAAGGGAAATACCTGAGGATTCCAGCCCCCTCTAGCCATCCTGTGTCACCTAAGAGCAGGAGAGAAAAAAGCTGAGAAACTTATGAAATTCACAGTCCGGAGGCACTGGCTCACTAAAAGACTGAGATCTAATCATAGGACAGTAGATTATTTTCCCTCCTCCAGCACTTTACCACTACATTACTAAAGTCTTATTTACAGTGGTTCTTACCCAGTACATCATGTCTGACTATGAAGAGAAAATTACAAGGCATACCAAAAGGCAAAAAACCCCACAATTTGAAGAGACAGCACAAGCATCTGAACCAGACATGGCAGGGCAGGTATGTTGGAATTATCAGACCGGGAATCTAAAACAACTATGATTACTATGCTAAGGGCTCTAACAGAGAAAGTAGACAGCATGCAAGATCAGATAGGCAATATAAGTAGAGAGGTGGAAATTCTAAGAAAGAACCAAAAAGAAATGCTAGAAATCAAAAACCCTGTAACAGAAATGAAGAATACCTTTGATGGGCTGATTAGTAGACTGGACATAGCTGAGAAGGAATCTCTGAGCTAGGATATATCAGTAGAAACCTCTAAAACTGAAAAGCAAAGAGAACAAAGACTGACAAAAAGGAACAGAATATCCGGAACCTGTGGACAACTACAAAAGTGTGACATACATGTAATGGGAATACCAGAAGGAGAAGAAAGAGAGAAAGGAACAGATGAAATATTTGAAAGGATAATGACTGAAAATTTCCCCAAATTAGTGTCAGACACCAAACTACAGGTTTAGGAAGCTCAGAGAACACCAAGCAAGATAAATGCCCCCAAAAAGCTACACTGAGGCATATCATATTCAAACTAAAGAAAACCAAAGATAAAGAAAAAATTCTGACAGAAGTCACAGGAAAAAAATACCTATGGAGAGACAAAGATAACAATTATGTCTGACCACTTAGAAACCGTGAAAGCAAGAAGATAGAGAAGTGAAATATTTAAAGTGTTGAGAGAAAACTACATCAACCTAGAGTTCTGTATCTTGTGAATTATCCTTCAGAAGTAAAGGAGAAATTAAGACTTTCTCAGGCAAACAAAAATTGAGGGAATTTGTTGCCAGTAGACCTGCCTTATGAGAAATATTAAAAGAAGTTATTTAGAGAGAAGGAAAATAATATAGGTCAGAAACTTGGATCTACATAAAGAGAAGAAGATTGAAGATGAATAAGTGAAGTTAAAATAAAAACTTTTGTTTTTCTAAATTGACCTAACAGATGACAGTTTGTTCAAAATAATAATAGCAACAATGTATTTGATTATGAATGCATATATATATATCTTATGTGTGTGTGTGTATATATATATACACACACATATATGTATGCTTATGTATGCTTGTATATAAATGAAATGAATGACAGCAATGATAAAGAGATGGATGGGAGGAATTAGGATTATTTTGTTAGTATAAGGTATTCACACCCCAGGAAGCAATGTAATGTTATTTGAAAGTGGACTTGGATTAGTTGTAAATGTATATTACAAACTCTAGGGCAATCACGGAAAAAAGGAAAAAAAGAAGTATTATTGATATGCTAATAAAGAGAAAATGGAATAATATAAAATGCTCAATTAAAACCACAAAAAGCAGCAAAGGAGTGGAAGACAAAATAGGAGCAAAGAACAAGGGCAGCAAATAGAAAGCAGTAACAAATATAGTAGATGTTAATCCAACTATATCAGTTATCACTTTGACCATCAGTGGTCTAAGTGCACCAATTAAAAGACAGATATTGTCAGAGTGGATCAGAAAACAAGAACCAGGGCCGGCCCCGTGGCTTAGCGGTTAAGTGCGCGTGCTCCGCTGCTGGCGGCCCGGGTTCGGATCCCAGTCGTGCACCGACGCACCGCTTCTCCCGCCATGCTGAGGCTGCGTCCCACATACAGCAACTAGAATGAGGTGCAGCTATGACATACAACAATCTACTAGGGCTTTGGGGAGGAAAAAATAAATAAAATAAAATCTTTAAAAAAAAAAAATCAATTAATGTGATCCATCATATCAATAGGCTAGAAAAAAAAAATCGTGGTTATGTCAGTAGAGGCATAAAAAGCATTTGACAGTATCCAATACCCATTTAAGATAAGAACTCTCAGTAGACTAGGAATAGAGGGGAACTTTCTCAACTTGATAAGGAATATCTACACAAAAACCTACAGCTAACATTATACTTAATGGTGAGAAACTCAAAGCTTTGCCACTAGGATCAGGAACAAGGCAAGGATGTCCCCTCTCACCACTCCTTTTCATCTTCATACTGGAAGTCTTAGCTATTGCAATAAGATGAGATAAGGAAATGAAAGGTACGTATATTGGGAAGGAAGAAATAAAATTGTCTTCATTAGCAGATGACATGTTTATCTATGTAGAAAATCAGAAAGAATTAACCAAAAAAACCCCTCCTGGAACTAATAAGTAATTATAGCAAGGTTACAGGATACAAGGTTAATATACAAAAGTTGATTGCTTTCCTATATGCCAGCAATTAACAAGTGGAATTTGAAATTAAAAACACAGTACATTTACATTAGCATCAAAAAACTGAAATACTTAGATACAAATCTAACAAAA